ACTGCTTTAAACTAGCTGTATCAAATAGTCACTGTCCAACGAATGTTTACAGACTAACACCTCTTTGGGCTTACGTGTTTGTGGTCAAGGTTTATCTGTGTTCCTCACTGAATTTCCTGTTGACATGAGTGACTGCAATGCCAAATGTTACTCGCTGAGGCGTGTTTGCACCGCAGTCATTTCAGGGCTGTTGCTAAATACCCCTGCTGATCCAGTTTGTAGTGTGGCCACCAATGCATGAAAAGACATGGTTTTTTTGTCTACCTAATCACGGAGAGGCAGCCTGTGCAACTGGGTGGATGCTGACGCCATTTCCTCTATGCTCTTTGCAGTGTTTGGCACCCACAGCCCTCAGTAGGTGAGGTGTATTGAGGTGTATGTCCTTTTAGCATGACATAAATGACAAAAGTACATGAGATGTACTGAACAGCAAATAATTTCCTGTTCAGTATAGAGTTGGCCTCAGAAAAAACTGTTTTGTTTTGCCTGGTGTGCTTTTCTTTTCTATCCAGATCTGTTTAATGATGCAGTCTCTTTCTACAGAGACTTAAAGTGCATACTTAAACAGGCCTTCAGATTTTTACAGTCATTCATCTGCAGAGAGGAAATCAAACACAAATATGTCAGACCATATTGACTTACAGCGCCAAACAGACTCTGATCCATGGATGGATGAAGTCATTAACAATGGTCTTCTTGCTCTGGCCACACAGATATGACGTGTGTGTGTGTGTCTGTGTATGTGTGTTTCCGTAATGCTGTTCCCAAACCCTTCACCATGGGAGGCACTCTGGGGTGTAGCTAGTATGTCACCATTGCTTCAAATGCCACCGAGTCCCACTGTTGAGTAAATGCCACTGCAGGATTAAACAGATTAAAAAGAGTGTGTTTTTTTTAGCACAGAGAACATGTGGATAATAAATCTTAACACCTCAGCATGTGTCTAAAAGCTGTTTTTCCTTCATTAACACATTGCCACAGTGCGAAATACAAAAGGGAAACAGGCAAAAAGAGCAATAAACTAAGCTTCTAGTTTGCACACATACTATGATTTCTTAAGTGCTGTTGCTGTAATAGAGCCGCAGTCTGAATCACAAACACACTGAGGTAGGGTAAAGCAATATAAGGGCTACCTTTTCAACATTTCTCCCTTTCTCCTTCTTCCTTTCTTCAATCATTGCTTCCAGTTCCCTACGTTCTTCTCAGTCACCTGAGCAACGAATCAGGTATCGGGTTCTTAGGCAGCTGCCAGACTAGAATGCTCTGAACCCTGTGGCCTCCACACTGGATGAATGTCAATGTATGCACAAACTCTCCAGAGAGCAGCAGTTTTACATAGATGTCAAACAGTGTGGTGGATGCACTGAGTATCACACACAGTGAGATTGTTTTGCATACTTTGACACACATTCATCTCCCTGCAGGAGTTTAGTTGTTCCTGATAGCATGGAATCCGTCTTCAGTGTCCTAGTTTCTTGCATGACCTGCTGGTTTTGCTTCCCATTAGTTGAGTTGGATTGCTACTCCTGTATTTTGCTTTTGTTCTGTTTTAATTTGTTTCTAAAATAGACGTGTGCAGTATTTTTTGTTACTTAATTTATTTTTATTTGACGAATCTCCATATTTGAGAATTGTTTGCATGGTAAGCAATTTTGTTGGTGCTGTATTGAGCTGTGAAAGTGATCCAGCACTGTAGTGTGTGAGTGAGTGTGTGTGTGTGTGTGTGTGTGTGTGTGTGTGTCTGTGTGTGTGTGAGTGGCATATTAATGGATGTTTCTGTTCCAGTGCCGTCAGCAGGAATGACTCGTCTGGCTCGCTCACGCACCACCTCCTCTTCCAGCATCACTTCCATGGACAGCAGTCGCAGTCGCAACAACCTCAACAGCCTGCTGGAGGGCAGTGCCACCGGGGGCCTGGACAACCAGTCCAGACCCCAGACCATGGAAGTCTCCTGCTAAACCCCAACCCCCTGCACCCTCCTATAGTAACTTATGTGCCCTCCCCTCCCTCTTTCTCTCTCATCTCACTCCTTAGCAGTTCAGCACTAGGAGGATCTGTAACAAACTATGTGATTAGAAAAGCAGGTGTAATAAATATATTAACAGATGCATATTATTAAATATTATATTAAATACACTGTCAGTCACATTCTAGAAACCGTAACTACATTCAGATGTGTATAGAAATGGTCAAACCGTTATGTCGACTCAACTGTCCATCGTCACCCTCGTCTATTTATTTTTTTTCTCACATTCTTTGTTTATATGTCTTCACACACATTATAGAAATCCTCCTTTGTAATTTTGTGTTCTAATTTAATTGCACGATACAAGACTTTTATTATTTGAACTGATCTCTTCTGGTGTGGGCTCTCAAAATGTGGGTTATACTGAAATAGGTTTGCAGTCTGTAATTACAATGATGCCAGAACAAGTGATGTAAAGGAAGAACAACTGCATAGCACACTAACTAGAACTAAGTCAGAGCTGAACAGAGAACATGAAAAGAACATTCAGTGTTGTGTACCAGTAAGTCCAGTAACTCTCTTTCCTTTTTGTAAGTGAACTCATCATCTCCTTTTTTGCTCTTTCTGATTTGTGTTGATGTTTTTGTTCAGTTGTTTAAATGATTCACTGATGTTTTAACAACATTTAACAAGTGGGGTCTGATGTGAAAAGTCTGAGTTCCTTCACTGAGGAGCCCAGTGGTGCTTCTCACTGTCTGCTGATACCACTCATTTATATTACTACCGAATAAAGCTACAACATGAGAACATGTCTGCTCTGCTTGTTTTTTAATGTAAGGACATTAGGACATATTTAAATGAAAGAAAGAAAGTAGAATATATGTGTCAGTGCAGTGAGAGACTTTACCTCTTCTCTTCGTGGAAAAGTTAGGTTACTGTGGTGTGATTGTTTCCAACCTCACTATTTCCTGTGATAACTGTTGTCACAGATGAGGCGTCTATAATTAGCACTGAAACAAAAAAAAGGTTAGCTGCTGTGCGATGAGGTGATTGACGCAACTGAAAAGTTGTCGAGAACATGGGGAACAGCGTTAATCTGATGTTCAAGTCATCACAGTTCACTGTAAAACACAGTCACAACACACATACATTCATTGCAGTAAAAGATAATAAGATGAACCTTTACTGATCCTCTGTATGAGTAAATCATTTAAAACAATTGAAATCTTGATATATTGTGATTCAGCACAAGTCTGGTCTGCTGAGGTAAAGATGATTTAGGTGTTTCCATCCACAGTGAAGTTGTTGTTTTGCTTCTAAACCACTGTATCTCATTAAAGACAAGACAAGACTAGAATATTTCAAAGTTATTAGCACCTTGAGTGGATGTTCCTCGCAGCTGAGACTGAAACATAGTCATCTTATGTATACCTTTCCTCGGTATGCAATCTTTTTTTCTTGGACTTTTTCACTCCCAAATAATTCATATTTACAAATGGCATGCCCCCATGGCCAGTGTGGTGGATGAACTGCTGAGTGCAGATAAATCAGGGCAGGAGGAGTCCGATAGCAGAAGCTTCATCGTGCCTCTGCAGAGCTCTGACTCTTATCTGACTCTAACATGTCTGAGTGTAATCAAAGCATCGGGCTGGCAATCTGAACGTAGCTCTGTGCAGTGTTTACCCTTCTAACACAAACTGGCACTGTGATATCATGTCACTGTACTTCACCCCTCCACAATGATGCATGTACATGTTTACGTAAACTCTGCTTATGCACACATACAGTGAATTCCATAAACAAGTGATGCGCGGTCAGCTCTATTTGAAAACATCCTGCATTAGATCAGCACAAGCTGTTCTCTGTTGAGGTATGAGCATCACAGGAAGTTGCAGCAGAGCGACATACCGCATATAAAGAGCAAGCAGGAAGCTCTTCAAGCAGACAACAAACATTTTTCATCAAGAGGATTTGGAAATTACTGACTGAGAAAATCCTACTCACTGATTATTATCTACAGGAGGTGAGTAAATCACTTGCTCTGATGAAGGTCCTATTTCTTTCTTTTTTTATATTTTTTTATTGAGTCATTCAAAGATTGTTCTTTACATCTATGATCTTCCTCATTATTACTCTCATGTTTTACAGATATATAGACAAAATTGAAAACTTTGAATAGCATAATAGTCCCTGGAAAGAAGGATAAAGTGGTAAAAGTAATAATAAGAAAAACCAATCAAATGAATATTACATTTATAGGAAGTTGTACCTTTGTATATTTTCAGTACATTTGAGTTAGAACAACCTGTAGAGTTCGAAAGCATTTCAATCACTTGACCCTTCCCATGAAAATGGTGTAAAAAATAGTTATTATTATTTAATTCATTATTCAAAATACCCAGGTCACTAATATATTGTTTCCAACTACCCCAATATGACTGATTGACACAACATTTACACAGCAGCACAAGGAAATAGGGGCAAAGGGAAAATGTAGCAAGAAGTAAGAATAGAAACAATCCAGAACAAATAATAATATAATAGTATATAAAGTTTCATGTTGCTGGCTGTGGATCTTACAGTTCAAATTCTGTCATACATATAAAAATGAATAATTTAAAACCAAGTATTTCACTTGCAAACACCTATTTATTCAACATATGTATCACAATACACAATACAATATTTAAATGGTATAACCAAAGTTAGAATCAGGTTAATATCCTCATATACCAGAAAATTTTACCATAAACAACTGATCATGGTAATAAATGTTGAATCTATTTAATTGCAGCTTTACTGAAAAGCTCAGTTTCTCCACAATATACATTTCCTTCATGGTTTCAATAAAGTCTTGTTTTTGTTTCATTCATTTTTTCTTTTCACTCAATGACCTGACTTTTCCTCCTCGATATAACAAGGATCCTGCCTCATCAGTTATATTGTATGAAATATCAGTTATTTGCTTAGGAATGAGCTATCAGCTATGTTTTTTTATATAATTTAGTTTTTTAAGATATTTTATTAACTTGATGCTAGCCATACATAAAATAAGTTTTCATAGTGAGAGCAAAACCTCATGTCTATTTTTTAATGAATCTTTCTCATGTAGCGTTCATGTTGGATGGAAATTTAACACAGGATATCAATGCCTCTTGTTGTGGTGAAGCGCCATCCTGTTACATGAAGGTACTTTCTCTTACTGTAGAGTGTGCAGGCTTTGTGAGCTGTTAAGCTGGTGGCAGGTAAAATGTGATAGCTCATGGAATAATACAAGTATGAATATATGTTATTGAGGATTTTGAAAGACCATTTTCTAAACATGCTTCATATTTCAACCTTTTTTCTGAATCTCCATTTCAGCAACAAGTTCAAATCGATAAGAAGCCAAAGAACATGGGCACCTGCCCCATCAAGTGTCGATCCAACCTGCCCCTCCTTGAAAATCCACCCGAACCTGTGGTAGAAGGTAGATTCAATCGCAACAGCAAATAGAAACAAGAAAAATGTAACAGATCAAAATGCATTTATTATATTCATGTCCTTCTTTCCCTCTGTAGGCCTTCAGGAGACTTTGATTGTATCGCTCTATAACTACCCGTCCTTTGGTCCCGCAGAGTTGACCATGTGCATTGGAGAAATGCTCACCATCGTATCAGAGTACGTGATGTAACGCCTCATGTTTGACCTTCACCCTTGTTCTCACTAAGACAGACACAAGTAGTCACATTATTTTCTCCGACAGCGATGGTGATTTCATGATGGTGAGGTCCACAACCACAGGCCATGAAAGCTACATTCCCACCAACTACACAGCCACGGTCACACACAGGTACGTGTTAGTCACAAAGATGTGTAACTCAGTACTGTGTGGGTGTGTGAGAGAGAAAAACCAGATAGATGTATTAGTAAAATGATAGGCAGGGAGTTCCCTGACATGTGGGAGGGGTCCCTGTGTAGGTGAACTTCACCTCAGTGTTTGGAACAAGCCCTCTGTTCTCTCCAGTGATGTGACGTCAGCCTCTGCCTCCTGCACTTTCACTCCTCCTCCAGTGGGGGATGTCTCTATCATTGTTCCAGTGGATCAAACCTGAAAACAACAGAACAGTCTATGTTTTATAAACGCCCACAGTCTGAACGTGTGCTGCACGTATGTTCTCTGTGTTCAGGTGGTTGTACAAAGGTATCAGCAGGATCAAAGCTGTGGAGCTGCTGCTGCAGCCCAGTAACCAGAGTGGAGCCTTCCTGATCCGAGAGTCAGAGACAGAGAGAGGTTAGAGGCGTCTTCATTCCTTCCTTCCTTCCTTCTGGTAATATTATTTGACTGATGTTAGTGGACCATATAATCTTCACAGTTTCTAAAGCAGTTTCCACTGTTTTAAAGGGATCATTCACCTGAAAATGAAAATTCACTCATTATCTACTCATCATAACGCCAGTGGAGGGGTTGGGAAGTAATAGTTTCAAAGGTAAACAGCATTGCAGCCAATACAATTGAAGTAACTGGTGACCACTTCTTCAAACGTAACAAATAGAAAAAGAACATATATTCCTCCTTGCTACTCCTGTGGTGTCATCCAAGTCTTCACAAGCCCCAACATTCAAAATGATTTGAAACGGCTTCATTTACACTATGTTTTAAGCTTAAATGTCCGCTGTTGTCCTCAGGGTTAGCCATTTACTTCAACTGTATTGGATTTGACTGCAACACTGTTTACCCCTGAAACTCCGAAAATGTTCACCACACTTCACCCAACCCCCCATCAGCATTGATGAGTAGATAATGAGTGAATTTTTATTTTTGGGTGAACTATCCCTTTAAGACTTGAACTCAGTGACAGTACTTTGTGATGAGCTTGATTTAATGTAATTACTTAATTTGCCTTAGAAGATTACTCCTATGGGTTAATAGGTAACAGCAATTAAGTCTCACTGCTGAATCTGTGTGCTATTTCTGTCTTTAGACTGTCACTCGCTGTCCATGCTGAAGAGAGCCAACTCCTCGTACCTCGATGGTGTGAAACACTACCGCATCAGTCAGCTCCAAAACGGCTGGGTCTACATATCCCCAGGACTCTCCTTCCCCTCCCTGCATCACCTTGTGGAACACTACTCAGGTTTGTACTGAGGGTGAAACACTGTTTTCTCAACTCAACACTAAAACCCTAAAAGAGCTAAACTGTAAAATGATCTCCTTTCTCAGAGTTTGCAGATGGATTGTGCTGTCGACTCACATCGCCCTGCTCCATCCAGGGTTTTGATGACGGTAGAGAGGCCAGGCCTGTACCCACAACTATCAGGAGGCCGACCATCAACTGGAAGGACATCAGCAGGTGCAGCAGAATCTCTCTATCATGTTCTTTTACAAACTACTTACATGTAGCACTTGTGGTTTGGCTTTTGAAGTCAACTTACTCACATGATTCTTGCTGTTCTGGGTTTGTCCCCTCATAGTTTCATGCACTTATAAGTCGCTTTGGATTAAAGCGTCAGCTAAATGAAATGTAAATCTTTTTCTTCTCATGGTGACATCCACAAGATGTCACTCTTGGTGTGGAGGACTGTGAGACCCCCTGCTGGTGCCTTGTTTAAACAATAGATACATCTCAAGGAAGCTCATCATTCTCAGTTTTAGCTACCTCCACCAAGGAGGAACATGGTGATGATCTAGGAATCTGTTTCACTCTCTTTAACATTGCAAGAATTTTTCATTATCTGACAATTTTTCTCAGAGGATGAAACTTGAATAAGGGGCCTTAATATCTGAGTGTGTGACATTTTGATTTCTTGACTGAATGTAAGGAGACTGTTGGGATCTGGAGGAAGTATATGCTCTACTGGGTTAACTCTGTGTATGTTGATTTAACTCCACCATAATTTGTTCTTCAGTGTTGAGTAAACTCAGAAAGAAGAGTGTGTATACAATACCAATGCTAGCAGATAAGACAGTATCTGCCATGTTTGAGTGTAGGTAACTGTATATGTGTAGAGCAAAATGCTCCTATAAATGAGCAGTACTTGGGATAGTGTGGAAAAAGTGCATTTGAGGCACATTATCGTCAACAAAACAATCACTTTACTCATCACAGTCTCGAATCCTGCTGTGTGTCCTCCAGGTCCATGATCTTCAAGAGGAAGAGGACAGAGTCAGACAACTCTCTGGTGAGCGAGGGGCTGAGGGAGGCCATCAGCTCTTACCTCCAAATGACAGAAGGCAGCAATCACAGCTGGGACACTTGAGGAGAGACGGTGGATCGGTCTGAGAGAATGAAGCCAGACAGAGACAAACGGTCAAGCACTGACCTGCCTCATGTGCCCTTTGAGAAGGACAGTGGACAGGGTCGTCTGCACGCCCACATGAGGTCATTGCACACCAGCCTGTCGTGGTAGAAGGCACTACAATGCTTGGATCTGCAACATGTTTGTCATTAAAAGACAAAAAGAAATTGGTTTTCAAATGTTGAATCTATACATTAATGTATAATCTAACTTGTGCATGCTGTTTGAATGTGACATATTTTAAATGTATTTCAATATGATTGTAATCGTGGGTATGTTATTGGAATCCAATAAAAAAAACTTAAGCAAACTAATAAATGAGCATCACAGACTAATACAGCCACATAAACTGTATGTTCTGTGTACAGGAATAATGATATAAACTCTTAATATAAACTACATGTTCTCGGGACAGCGGTGGAGTAATGATGATAAAGTCTAATGATCGGTGGAGTAATGATGAAGTTTAACCTGTGTGTGGTCGGACATGTTTGCTGTGGGCAGTGTGAGCTCCTCTGCCAGCAGATGCCGCTTTATTACCTGCACCACTTCATCGGAGCTTCCACTTCCTGCCCCAACACTTCTGTTCAGGAAGAAGTAATAATGGCGACGCTTCTGGGGTCCGAGTCCCCCTGTACTGGAGGAAAACGAAGAAATTGCCGCAGCAATATCGTCACAAAGTTCACGGCCAGTAAAATCACCGGCCAGGGTTTCAGTCAGGGGACACAGGTAAGAGAAACGACGCGTGTTGTGACGGTAAAACGCGTCTGAAAGTTGCTGCACCGAGACCAGGGACTTGCGCTCGGAATGCAGCCTGAGAACGGAGCCGCTGTCCCGGGCATTACATCAGAGATGTAGTCGCTCCTGACAACCTGGGCTTTTCAGTTAGCTCCAACAATTCCGGGCGTTTTAAACAACACGAACCTTTAACTTTGACGCCATCGGCCCCTTTATAACACGGTTTGCTGGCTGGCCACACAAACAATGTTAGCATTATCAGCAGCCGTGTGAAGCAAGCTCCGCTCCGATTCTGTCTTTTGTTGTTAGCTCTGCGTTAGCTTAGCATTAAAGGCCAGGTTCAACGCGACATAAACCCTCCGTGGACAGAAAGACGGACGGGATGTTGTTGCTTCTATCGGTCGTTGTGTTGTCAGTGTGACTGTGGATCAATTCTAGAAGCTCTAATTTCACACAACGTCAACCAACAACAGCAACATTAGCTGGTGTTAGCAAACAGGGTAACGTCAGCTAGCTAGCTAAGCCAGCTGAACAGCTCAGGTGATTACGTAACGACACACTAACCACAATAACTATGTTTTCCATAAAAGGGTACAGCAGCTGTTAGCAAGTTTATTTTTAATTCTACACAAGCGAATATTTACACGGTATCTGAAGCTTTGGGGAACATAGATGTAACGTTAGTTGACGTCAGCTGTTATTGTGTTTTTATCCACATTACTTCTGTTTGTTGACATCGTCCCTGTCCTGACATTTTAGCCACTGTCTTCATCTGCTTCTGTTTATTTACTGCACCGCGACTGAAACCACGACAAAACATTGAATTCCAGTTTCTCTGCAACACGTTTCTACCTTCACCACTGACTTGCACTTTTCGAGGTAATGCAATGTAGTGGTGATTTAAAACAGTGAAACCTATCACCAACATAAAGAGACCTTGTTGTTACTGGGGATAATACCCCCAATAACAACGAATGTGTTGTTTTTAGTGTTGCCTCAGCTGCTACAATCTGAACAGTTGTCAAAATACACCAGTGTTCTGCCACTGACACATGATGTTTATGATCAGGTCAGTCATTCAAGTGCAGAGGTCATCAACATTCACGAGCTACAACAGAAAACACGGACAGTCTTCGGTCCGGTTACTCCGTCTGTAGAGCAGCATGTATTGGCCTAAGCATGCAGTCAGAGGTTCCTAAGGTCATTAAGGGTTTCGATGTTCTCAGAAGACACCATCTTGATTTTTCAGGGTATTGGTGCACTGATTCGATTGTAATGTTTCACTTTCACGAGTTGTAATAGATTAAATGCTGCAGGTCTTTGCTGGTTCCAACTGAGCAGAAGGCATTTCTTTACTGTGTATTACAGTATACAAATCTGCTCTGTTCTGTCTTGTGTTCTGTCCAGTTTTGTGCAAAACATGGTTTGTTACTTTTAAAGAAAACCAGTGTGGAAGCAAGGTTTGGTGCCATGTCAGAATCTGAGAATGTACAGCATGTTTCTACCTTTCAGAAATTACAAAATTATAAGTCTTAATAGTAAATGCACAATTAGGAAATTTGACATTTTTAATATTTCAGCCATTTTCCACATATATATCTTTTTAAAGTAATGCCTTTGTCACTGGCTTTTATTTGGGCTTCAACAGTGAGAATTGCTGTCACAACCAGACAGAAAATATGTGCATGCATTTTCATCACCTGTAAAGTCAATAAATCAATTTGGTAAATTTAGAAAACGTCCTCTTTTGTGACCTCCAGCAGCTTCAATTCAAAAGGCCCCACAAGAGTTAAATCCAAATGAGGACAAACTCAACACAACACACCTGTAATCAGATCACACTGCTGGTGTCCATGTTGCAGGGTCAACTTCAACGTTCTGCAGAACTTCATGGCCTTGCTCCACTTAACATTAGCACTCACTGACCATGAGCCAGGCCAGGACTCTGTTATCCTATGTGTTTAGTTATTACAGGGACATAATAATAATCTGCTGAAGTTGTTGTATTCATTGCAGTAATCCGCTCTATAGCCCAAGGTGTGTGGCTCAGCTCTAATCTCATTTAAAAGAGTAGTCACAGTCTTTATATCCTCTGGGGCCTTTTGTTTGTCTCAAAAGTTGTGTTCATGTTTTCTGGTAAGGAAAATGAGGAAAGACGATGAATTTTTTTTACATGAGTTTTACATTTTTATAATTTCAGACCCCATATGTATGTGTTTAGCAGACCGAATATTCTTTTTATTTCTCTGTCAAGATTGCAGCCTGACATCCACTAGTACAACCAAAGATGTACCTTTAAAACCTTTCTGAATCACTGATATAATTAATGATGAATTTTTTTCTATATATGTTGCACTGTTTAAGTTTACCTCTGGTTATGTTGTCGTAGCTCCCAGCAGGTTTGCTCCAGGAGAGAGATAAACGAGCTAAGTGGAATGGCATCCCTACTGTGCTGCAGAAGCTCTACGAGAGCAGCCATCCCAACAGTGACCTCTCCCATGCGCACAGCTTTCTTAAGGTACACACAATGCACTACTCCATTCAACACTTTTTGCCACTTGTTGTTGAACATTTCACTTTTTTGTCTGGATGATGTAAATTACATGCAAACAATGTTTTTTTTCCAGGTAATATCATCTCAGCTCTCCGTGGAGGCCATGTCTTTTGTCACAGAGGACAGGAAGACCGCTCAGGAATCCACCTTCCCCAACACGCACACCTTTGACCTCTTTGGCGGAGTCGATGTAAGTTTGACATTCCTGATACCTAATGCTCTGTTGTTGTTGGACTCAGACCCTGAAGCATGTTACTTCAGGAGAATCAGTTGCTGTGCAAAGTAACTCATACTAAAACACTGTAGAGATTATAATGGTATTGAATCCTCATTTGACTGTGTCCCTGAAGCTGCTCGTGGAGATCTTGATGAGACCCACACTAACTATGCAGAAGAAAAACCCCAAAAGTAAGTATGGCTGACATCACATCTGTCTGCTTTATTGAGAAGGTAACATGTATGGAGAAAAAAATATTTAAATTAAGACTAATGTATTTTGTTTTTGTTATAACAGTGAATGATGACCTGGTTAAGGACTGCCTTAGTGTTCTCTACAACTGTTGTATATGTGTAAGTGTCCTATTACCTTTTTTAATTGTCAGAGGTGTATCACATCTTGCTTTAAACAAGCACATGTTTATTGTTTTAAGTGTTTTTTCCTGTCGGTAGTTGTTGCTGTTATATAGGTCTCAAAAGCTCTCAAATGGATTTGATTAACATACACATTCTTCTTCTTTCAATTCATAGACAGAGGGAGTGACGAAGAGTCTGGCAGCAAGGGACGACTTTGTTCTGTTTCTCTTTACCCTGATGACAAACAAGAAGACCTTCCTACAGACTGCTACCCTTATTGAAGATATTCTAGGGGTCAAAAAGGTCAGTTATATTTCTCAGCCTGAGCATTAAGCCCTGTTGACTCAAGAGTTAAAAGTTCTATGAAGTCCCTTTTATGCAGTTTTATTTTGTAACCCAATAATAACAATAATTCTCTGTAACCCTGTTTCTTAAAAATCAGTCAAATTAATATTAAATATTCATCTTTTTGATTGTGAAAATAATGTTTTCGTCTTTGCTCTTTTTAAAAAGACAAATTCATATTTTCTGCTGGCTCTATGGTCCATGCACAGACGGACCTAATGCCAAAACTTAAACACTTGGCATAACTGCTGACATCCTAATATCAAAGCAGTTTAATGTTATTTTAAGAATCAGGCAGTATTTTACTTGAATAACTCTTGATCGATTAAGCAACCACTTTAAAATAGCTTCTCTGTCTTTCATAGCTGTTTGGTGACAATGATTTAGCAGATTGGTTGGCATACCTCACACTTTTTATTCCATCTTTTTGCTTTTACAAGTCTCAAAAAACTACATTGCATTGTTGGTTTTATTGTGAAATTATATCTTTGATGTCTATCAGCAAACTGATGTATTAGGTAATATGAATAATCTACTGCAGTTTTAGTTGGTTACAAATTCAGGCAAAATCTCTTGAGATGTGGTTCTGATTCTGATCCACTATCAGACTGATAACAGTTCATGTGTTGGCATGTTTAAGGAGATGATCCATTTGGAAGGGATCCCCAACCTATCAGGCCTGGTCCAAAGCTTTGACCAGCAACAGCTGGCCAACTTCTGTCGCATCTTATCTGTCACCATCTCAGAACCTGATGTAGGAAATGATGACAAGCACACTCTGCTGGCTAAAAACGCTCAACAGAAACGCAACGCCAGCCCCTCACGGGCAGAGGTCAATCAGGGTAAGTTTTCTTTAGCTCATTTCACACTGTATAAAAAAAACAACTAACACATGCTTACATCTTGCTTTTGTCTGCAATGTAAATGGATTAAATAAGCATTCACTCCAGGGTCAAATGACTCTGCATAAGATACTGCTTTAATCGGCTATGATTATCAGTGATGCAAACATGACACCCGGTTGAACGTGCTAATTTGGCAATACGGTGAGGTGCGAGAGTGCCTCAGTTTTCAGTGCGTTTGTGACGTTGAACATGACACATTGGTGGGAAAAAACAGAGAAACACTCCCACTGGCAATAGGAAAGGAGTTTTGTTGGTTTCCCCCACATTAAGAAAACATCTGCTGGTTTTGTTTTAAAAGAAGTATTGGTCCACTGAGCTCATACAAACTGCAACATGTGTGCCATTGTTAAAAAAAACAAAACAAAACAAAAAAAATAGGTCAACACTGTTTTTTTCTGACAGTAACCCTGCTGAACATCCCTGGGTTCATCGAGCGGCTGTGTAAGCTTGCCACTAGAAAGGTGTCTGAGGCCACAGGCGCTAACTTCCTGCAGGAGCTGGAGGACTGGTACACATGGCTAGACAATGCTCTGGTGCTGGATGCCCTTATGCAGATGGCCACTGAGGAAGCGGAACAAAGCAGTACAGGTGAGCCAAGTCACTTGTGCTGATAGTTTCTCAACTTACCTAAATCCTATGAACTTTGCCTGAAATCCTCTTTTTACTTTTAGAATCATCAGATGAGAGTTCTCTGGCCACAAGCCCCCTGAGACATCGACTGCCCCAGTCCATGAAGACTGTCCATGAGATCATGTATAAAGTGGAAGTGATGTATGTACTGTGTGTCCTTCTCATGGGCCGACAGAGGAACCAGGTACTTAACATTACTCCCTCCTCTCTCTAAGATTTAAGTGTAAGCATTTGCTTTGCTAAGCAGGGTGCAGTTCTCTCATCAATGTTATGCTTCTCTGCTCAGGTCCACAAAATGCTGGCTGAGTTCCGTCTCATCCCAGGTCTCAATAACCTGTTTGACAAGCTGATATGGAGGAAATACACTGCTTCAAATCATGTGGTGCACAGCCAGAATGAGAACTGCGATTGTAGTCCAGTATGAATATTAAACAAAACATACATTTTGAAACCAGGCTCTGAGCAATGAAATGAAACTTTTAGGAGTTGAACACAATCATGAACACGCTTTTTTTCTCATTATACAGGAAATCTCCTTTAAAATCCAGTTTTTGCGGTTACTCCAAAGTTTCAGTGATCACCATGAGTAAGTGACCCTTTATTGTGCAACCTTAGATCTTACTTCTCGTCTTAAGTTGAGTTTATATTTTGAAACGCGTTGCTTGTCTTACAGGAATAAGTACCTCTTGCTGAATAGCCAGGAGCTGAATGAACTGAGTGCCATATCCATGAAGGCTAATATCCCTGAGGTGGAAGCTCTGGTCAACACAGACAGAAGCCTAGTGTGTGATGGGAAGAAGGGTCTCCTCACGCGCCTCCTAGCTGTCATGAAGAGGGAGCCTCCAGACTCGTCCTTCAGGTCAGATTTATATAGGCCAATGATCAAGATGCAGGAGGTGAAAACTATGAATGTCTCTGTTTAATGGTATCTGAATGTAATTTGCTGTAAATTGTTTTATATATTTTTCAATTAAAGGTTCTTAAGGAACAGATCTGTCATGAGAGCAAAAATAACGCTGTTGGTTTTAGTATTAATGATGAGGTAGATCAATAATCTGACTTCAGTTCACCTCCTCATGTCTGCATCGTTTTCCAGTCTCCATACATAATTTTCGTACACATGGGTCAGAGTTTGCCTGGAAGTGCGCACATTCTCCCCAGTGTTTGCGTGAGAAGTGGCGTATGCATCTTCCAGGCTCTTTTGCGTATGCAACGGTTATAAATGAGGTCCCAGATCTCTGCAGTGGGACAAATACGTTATGTGCTACCTCTACTTGCTGCTCTGGAGATTTTATGTGTTTTTGTGAACACATCTGACCACACCCCATTGTGCAGGCATTCTCTGTAGTCCACTTCTGAAAGTGACTCAAGATTTGTCTGTCTTTTTATAGCTGACTATATACTGTATGTTTCTGTTTCTTCATGTAGATTCTGGCAGGCAAGAGCAGTGGAAAGTTTTCTCAGAGGAGCCACCTCCTATGCAGACCAAATGTTCCTCCTGAAAAGGGGACTGCTCGAGGTAATACTGCAGCCACGTTGTGTTTCTCGACGCACAGTTCACATCTCAAAGATTTCTCATTGATTTTGAATCCTCTTAATTAAATAGTTACTCACTTCCTTCCCTCGACAGCACATCCTGTTCTGCATCATCGATAGCGGCTGTACATCTCGAGATGTCCTACAGAGCTACTTTGATCTGCTGGGAGAGCTCATGAAGTTCAACATTGATGCCTTCAAAAGATTCAACAAATACGTCAACACTCCTGAAAAGGTATAACTTTACACTTTATATGCATTGTAAAGAGGTATTGAATTAACTGACCTAACAAAATAAAACTTCAAAACAATTTTTCAACAGCTGTGTTGCATGAACATGTGGCTAATAGCGTTGTTTGATTTCTTCTCTGTAGTTTCAGACCTTCCTGACACAGATTAACAGCTCCCTGGTAGACTCCAACATGCTAGTGCGTTGCATTGTCCTTTCGTTGGACCGCTTTGAGAGCCAGACTGAAGATGTCAAAGGTAAATCAGGATGGAAAGTAATGTGGAGACTAGTTCCAGAATGTTCTGAGTTGTTCTAAGTTGACAGATGAAGCAGTCCCATCCAGGATTTAAACAATGAGCATTGTTGGGAATTATTGTTATTATATGTTTAATAGAGTTTATATTGATTTCAGTGTTTTGTGCCTCCTCCCTCAGTGGTGGAGGTTCTGTCTGAGTGCTGCCTGCTGTCCTACATGGCCAGAGTGGAGAACAGACTTTCCTTCCTCTTCAGACTGATCAACATCATCAACGTGCAGACTCTCACACAGGTGTTTCATTTTGACATTGTTGCAGTTGAAGATTAATTAATTAATTCATCTCACAAATGATAAATTTGTTGTCTAAACTTTGTTGTATCCATCCCATTCCCTGTCCCTGCAGGAGAATGTGAGCTGTTTAAACACCAGCCTTGTGATCTTGATGTTGGCCAGAAGGAAGGCTAAACTGCCCTTCTACCTCAATGCCTTGCGGGAGAAGGAGTATGCGGAAAAGTATCCGGGTTGCTTGCTCAATAACTTCCACAACCTACTGCGCTTCTGGCAGCGCCACTACCTCAACAAGGACAAAGATAGCACCTGTCTGGAGAATGTAAGTATTGCTCACTCTAACCTTCAAGTGTTTTTCTGTGATACATTGAAAACATGATGACAGGGTATTAACATACATGCGGGCTGGGAAAATCAGAGCTGCATCACTAGTGGCATGTGACCAACAACTTTATCAAGTGATGTAAAGGTTGTTTGTATTTGTTCTGCTGTCCCCAAGTGGCCAAAAATATACCTCATGTTGGCCTTAATATTTAGAAGTTTGGTGATGTTTTATATATGAAATATGATGATGTCGTGTGAAAACGCAACATTGATTACGTTAATTGAATCTCATTTATTTAATCCCTGTTATTTATAAGGTGTGAAATGGTCTCCTCAGGGTGGAACTGATCCAACAGACATCCAGAAACACAGCTAAGCCTGGCTGATTTTAACTGGATAGAGCACATTTGAAACATTTAAATTGACTAGATTTGCATCTGCACCAGATTGCACCCAATCATAAATATCACTCTCATTCTTGAAATTGTTTACATCTAGAGTCATTAATTATTCTCTGAGAAATCAATGAAAATGTTAAATGCCCTATCTCACTATGTTAAACTGTTGCTGATCTGTATATGCACCAAAATGTAATGGGTTCTTCCCTGACCCATCCTTCCTTCTAGTTTCGTGGTAATCTGTCCAGTAGTTAATGTGTTATTGTGCCAACAAAAACACAAACAGACTCAATAATACAACAAGCAGTAGTTTTATTGTTGTAATCCCTCTGGTCTTGCTCCTCAGAGCTCCTGTATCCCCTTCAGCTACTGGAAGGAGACGGTGTCAGTGCTGCTGGGCTCAGACAGGACTTCTCTGTGTGCCATAGCGAGCTACATTGATGAGCCTTTCATGGATCTGGACAGAGACCTGCTGGAAGATTGACCTCCAGCATGTGCACTCTGGGCTGGGGGGTGGGACAGGGCAGAGGGTCACAGGGAGCATGGACACCTAGAGCTGGTGATGACTCCACTGAGCCATCCAGACGCTTTGTGACAGCGCTTCTGGATGTAAAGACTCACCTGTTTGCTTTCTGTACCTACGCATGGAGGCCGTCATCGCAGAGGGGAGGGGGGTGCGAATTCTCACTGAGTTACCACTCTTCTTCAGAGGAAACCTGTACGCCCGTCCCAGAATCACATAACAGACTATTGAGGGAACTTGGGATATGACACCTGCGTTGGTTGTTTGCTTTAGGTGAAATTCAAATAGAGCCTTTTATATAACCTATACAAAAAATCTATGAAAAAATGTGTATGAATCAACAAATTATATGTTAGAAAAAAAGATTCCTTTTACATGGACTTGGTTTGGCAATGTCCACAGATGAACTGTCAGCCAGATGTGTCAGTGAGGTCAGTGACACATCACAGGGAGTCTGCCGTCTCAGTCGCCCACTACCTACACGCTCTCTGTCGACTCAGAGCCACTCCACCGCCTGACCTGTGGGGGGGGGGGGCATTAGTGACATTTTTGCAGGGGTCTTGTCGATGAACAGCATTTCCTTTTAACCCGTCTGTGGGTCTATTTTATTAGGTGGCTATTGTTGATTGGTGCTTTCTGGCTCTACTCGAAACATTTAAGTAGCTCATGGGCCGGCTGACATGTATCACAAAATCACACACACGGGGCTCCTTTCACCTAAAAACCATCCACTCTGCTGTGGCTTCAGAAGCTTCACACAGCAACTCGTCTCTTTTCCAGGTTCTTTTTGCTGATCTATTTTTGTCATGTTGAAAACAATGGCTTTTAGCTCTGGATAAAATGTAGAATAAAACATTGCACAGATTAAATTGCTTTTATTGTTTATTATAGTTTAACTCATTTGTTGAATAAATCACCATCATTTTGTACAGAATTTGTATCCAATGCTGTGGGATATGCTTTGGGAAAGAGAATAAACTATGCAGGTGCTAGTGTTAAGATACCACTTTCATTGCTCCACACACTGTTTTATGTGACTCAGCCTTTAGACCAACATCATCATCATTAGACTCAAAGTCTACCACCGTCTGATTTATCTTAATCTCAGAGAATGACAATCTTTCTGTGTGGTTGCTCTTATAGCTTGAGTTCGGCTGTGATGATGTTTCCATGGCATGAATGTGTAGTTACAGAGCTGAACAGATATTTGGCGTCTTAAATTGAACACTCACGATAAGTACAAAATGAATGAGCTACCTCATATTTTCTCCTGATACCGTACAGATCTAACCACGTCTAATGACAAGTGTACAGTCATGATTCATGTGAATGTATAATGGGATGCAAACACATGTCCTTTTACACATCTGAAGCCTTTTATTTGCTTTAAAGCTGATAACCAGAAATGTTTCCTTGCTCACGAATTTTCATTCAGCATGTCTTAAAAGAAATCTCTGAGTATGCACATACTTTAACAGTTCATCTTTTGCAGTGAGAAAATTCTCATTTTCTTGCTGAATCCCTGAGATAAATGCTTTGTTTAACGTGATACTGCAGTGGTGTTTTTGACCTGAGAACTGATCATGTTTTTTCATGGATGTAAACCCCTGGTATCGCTCCAGTCATCCACCGTGGAAGTCAAAGAAAAACAAGAATGTTGTGAGCTAATGCATTGACACTTCCTGACTGCTGTAGCTTTGTGCTGTGAAGTGAGAGAGTGAGCCCTCTGTATGAGCATGAGAGAACTGCATCTCCACAGTTCTGCCATATGTGGTGTGAAGCTCCGAGTAGGCCTTAGATTTCATACATTATTTTGTGCTTGGAAATGGTGAAATCTTATCCTCTTGGTCAAGAACATGCTGCGCAGTGTTTGATTTTACCACTTTAATTAGAGGCCTCACATGTTTTGACTTGAACTAGTTTCATATCACGTTTGGCATGGTGTGGATATTATTAGACAAACATTTTGCAGCCACTCCTAAACTGGCAGTTAAAACTCGGACCATGTGGTGATTTTTGATCAAATATTGTCTCTCAACACACAACGATCAACAGCATCTGTGGATGTTTTTGTCGTAGAGGACAACTATTAACAGTGGATAATTCGTGGTGTAAAATTTAAACCATAAATGCAGAAAATCTCTCATGGTTGTGTTAAATAATCACGTCTGCACACGTCTGACTAATCAAACAAAGAAGAAAAGATTCACGTTTCAGTTTCACATCCAACTATAACCACTTCTGTAACAGGCTCTAACCCTTCACCTTCCTCCTCTAATGCTGGTGTTGAACTTCATTTTCCTTATTTAACAACTGTTTGTCAAATTAATAATATAATAAATTCTTCTTTAGACCTTTGTGGGGTTTCTACCTTCTTCACATTCACACACATCAGTCATAGGGAAAGATTTAAAAGTCTTTATTTGGGCGTTCACACAGCCGAGCACATCTGTTGCAGCTGACTTGTTTACTTGCAGCCTCATGGCATCACTCAGTGTGCTGAAATACACAAGACAGGAGTGTTTACTGGCAACCACATACACAATGTCACAAAGTTACTCATGACCACAGCAGCGATCACATGAGGCGGCTATGTGAGGTCGTATTCAATAGAGGATTACGTCCAGGCTCTTCTAAGATTAGCTCTTGTCATGTAGCCAGTCAAACTAATTTTAATAAATTCTCCCGAAGGTCATACAATTGTGCACCGTACTGTGAAATGGATTGCATGCATTTGGTTTGCCAACCTTGCTGCCTTGGTCACGGGTGCGGACACGCAGCTTGTTGACCTGCGACTCGGCCGTATCGGCCCTCTCCTCTGCGTCGTCGAGCTCATGCTGCAGCTTCCTGTACTTGGACATGTTGGTGTTTGCCTGTTCCTCCTGCACAGAGATCGAAGTGTACAGTGAACGGAAGCTTGTCACTCTCTCCACTTTACCACATATTAAACTGTCAGGCAGCAGTAAACAAGTGATGGTGGACTCACTGCTTCCTCAGCCTGCCTCTTGTAGCTCTTCAATTTGATCTGCAGCTTGTCGATGAGGTCCTGCAAGCGCAGCAGGTTCTTCTTGTCTTCCTCAGACTGCACAAACACCAGAGTGAAACTTTTACCCTGCCTTCAATTTCTCTAAAAAAGCTCTCATGTTGTACTGCTGGTGGTGAGGTGGTTTACCTGATAGGACAGCTCTTTGATTCTCCTCTCGTACTTGCGTACTCCCTTCTGAAACTCTTGGCTCTTCTTTTGCTCAGAGTCTAGTTCGTTCTCCAGTTCTTTGACCTACCAGTGAGATCAGCAAGTACTGTCACCCATCAGCTCATTACAAATGTGTAAGGATTGACAAATGAGACACACTGACTCCTTAAACACTGATTCCAGCTCTTACCCTGGCCTCCAGCTTCTGAACCTGCTTCTTGCCTCCTTTGAGGGCAATCTGCTCGGCCTCATCAAGACGCATCTGCAGGTCCTTTACAGTTTGCTCCATGTTCTTCTTCATCCTCTCCAGGTGGGCACTGGTGTCCTGCTCCTTCTTCAGCTCCTCTGCCATCATGGCCGCCTGTAAATACAGAGAGGGGCATTAGGTCTACTCTTATAGGACTGGAAATTACGGTGGCAAAGTCAACATTAACAAGCCTCTGGCTCAGATGTGAGGTAATCAAGACTATCCATATATGTTGTTGGTTAAATTTCTTTTCTCTTGATGTGTTAAATGTTTGTTGACGAGAGGTCTTACGTCAGTGATGGCCTTTTTGGCCTTCTCTTCTGCGTTGCGGCATTCCTGAACAGCATCGTCAACCTCATTCGACAGAATGGACAGATCGCTCTCCAGCTTCTTCTTCTGGTTGATCAGCCCAGTGTTCTGCAACCAGAGAACAAAATGAAAGACTTCAAGACTTTGAAAATTGAAGTGACAGTTTCTTTTGTTTTCAGCTGCTGAAAATGAACCTAAAAACCAATCAATGAATAACTGGAGGGGGCTCAGGTTGTTTATCGGTTACATATACAACACAGTCCTGCAGCAAGCTAAACATTCTTTTTTTTTTTTTTAAAGATATTTATTGATTTGACAGTAAGTGTGATATGGTGAAAGAGAATGGGATCAATGCTGACTACTGTGATTATTCCCCCGGACTTTTCTGCATCTTCCCCAGCATCCTACTGGAAACCCCCATGTTGTGAATGGACGTGAATGGAGATGCAAACCTTGTTTAAGTGCAGTAATATTCCATGCAGTGTTTCAGTAAAAGACTGTTGTGTGTAGTTGCACGTTATTTTGCGGTTCTAGGGAAGTCATGGTTCTTTCTTAGTGAAAACACAGCATATACTCAACTACACTGCTGCTTCTTAATGCCATGATTTATTGATAAATGCACTGTAATGTAGTTTTTACCTGAGAGTGCAACAGGTTGACTCTCTCCGTGGCCTCCAGCAGCTCATGCTCAGCCAGCTTGCGTGCACGGTCGTTTTGCTCCAGCAGAGCCCTGAGCTCCTCCACCTCGACAGCCAGCAGGTTGTTCCGCCGTTCAGTCACCGCCACCTGCTCCTTCAGCTCCTCATTCTTGTGAATAGTGTCATCTAACTCCATCTGAATGTCCTGGAATCAAGAAAGGGTAAAAATATTCGTTTTTAAGTGTGTAACAATAGAGATGTATTTGATATGACCTTCAGGGTGAGCATGCTGGCTGTCTGCGGCGGGGACTCACCTTGATCTGCACCTGCAGGTTCCTCAGGAGTTTCTGGGACTCGGAGGCCTGCCTGTTGGCGTGGTTCAGCTGCACCTCCATCTCATTCAGGTCGCCCTCCATCTTCTTCCTCAGGCGCACTGCCTCGTTGCGAGACTTAGCCTCAGCATCCAAGGTGGCCTGCATGGAGTCCAGGGTTCTCAGGTGGTTACGACTAGAAGGTGATGAAGAGGTAAATATAAAAAGTGGTTGACAGGGAAAGAATCTTGGATGTGCTGATGTATGGATGAATAGAGCGATGTGTAAAACTCACCGGAGGTTGTCGATTTCCTCGTCCTTCTCTGCCAGCTTCCTGTCCACATCGGCCTTAATCTGGTTTAACTCCAGCTGGATTCTGAGAGTTTTGCTCTCTTCGTGCTCCAGAGTGCCCTGAGACAGACATGTCCACTTAATGCTCGATGATATTCACCTCAGTCAGGCATATACCACAGACCACCAATAAGAGGAAGAGGTGTGGGAACGTTGTTAACTACTTACTTCAGCTTCCTCCAGCGCAGCTTGAATCTCACTTTTCTCCATTTCCAGACTCTTCTTAATCTTCTCCAGCTCATTGATGGTCTTCACTCCCTGACTCATTTGATCAGACAGGTCAACAATCTCCTCTGTAGAAGACAAAAATTGTGTTTCACATTAAGTCTTAAGTTTTCTCCAATCCAACCATCCAGCTGGGAATTAGAGCTCAGCTCTACCTTGCAGGTTCTTGTTCTCCCTCTTGATTGTCTCCAGATGATCCAGACTCTCCTCATAAGAATTCTTCAGTTTGAAGAGCTCTGTGCTCAGGCCACGAGACTCCTTCTGAGAGGTCTCCAGCTCAGACTGGCACTCCTCATACTTCTGTTTCCACTCAACCAGCACCTGGATGCACAATGACACTCATTGTCAGCTTTTAAATCAAATCTCTTCTTCAGCAGACAAAGAACAGTTACAGTGGAGCCCAAGTACTGTACTTGTTTAATATTTTAGACTGTAAGTCTCCCGAGATGGTGAGGCCTAAACTCATCATCCATTTTGACAGTTATTCAATGTTAGATTGAGATGATGTAAGATAATGTGTGGAAATTTACCATGTAACAGCAACAAAATGTACTATTCCGTTTTGTTGCTGTCACGTGATAAATTTCCACACAGTACACACTCATTAAAGGTTAAAAGTCAAAAATGTAATATTAACAAGGGAAATATAAAAGATACAAATTATTTTCCTCCAGGGAAGCAAATGCATAGTAGTTGTTAACAGGAAACTAGTGACTTTTAAAGACATGGGTTCCCTTCTCTTTGCCAGTACCTTGTCGAAGTTGCGTTGCTTTTTATCGAGCGCAGCAGCTGCAGCATTAGCTCGCTCCAGGTCGATGATCAGGTCCTCAATCTCTGTCTGGAGCCGATGTTTGGTTTTCTCCAGGGAGGAGCACTTGGCGTTAGATGCCTCCACTGCCTCCTCAGCATCCTGCAGACGTATCACCAGCTTCTTTCTACAGAGAGGCAAACAGATTCCAATGTTATGCCTTCAAATGATCATTCTGCACCAACTAATTCTGTCAAAAATACATCTCACTCACTTGGCCTCCTCCAGCTCCTCAGTTCTCTGGATGGCATCAGTTTCATACTTAGTCCTCCACTGAGCCACCTCGACGTTGGCATTGGACAGAGCTCTCTGCATCTCACTCTTGGCCTCCTGCTCCTCGTCATACTGCTCCCGCAGGAGATCGCAGTCATGTCGGGTTGACTGCAGTGCATGGGCCAGGGAGTTCTTAGCCTTTAGAGAACAATCAGGGTGGTGGAGAGCAGTTAGCTAAACTGTAGGATCTCTGAATCTCTATGATTTAGCCTTGTGATTAACTACTGATGATGTATTTATTGGTACCTGACCTTATTTTCCTCCTCCAGCTGCTTCTTGAGCTCCTCCACATTCTGGCTATATGAGTTCTTGGCCCTCTGGAGCTGAGACACCATGGACTCTCGCTCCTCCAGCTTCCTTCCCAGCTCAGCTGCCCCATGAGAAGGAAAAGGTCCCTGTGTTAATAACCAGTCTGTGAAATCTGAATCCGAGATTTATAATAAACTGAACAGCATTTACCACTCTCGGCCTGAGCACGGGCCCTTTGGGTGCTCGTATCGTTGAGCTGCCTCTGGAGCTCTTCAACCTTGGCTTTAGACTCGTTCATTTGGTCTTCATACAGGCGACACATCTTCTCTGAATTGGCCTGCAGACAAGAGAGACATTTTGATCTATTCTGGTTCCATCTTGCTTTTATTCTCTCAGTGTGTCTCTTTTTCTTTTGTCTACCTTGCCCTTGGAAAGATGCTCCACAGTGGAGGCCAGATCGTCAGCCTCCATCTTGGCCTCGCTCCTCTCCTTCTCCAGCTTCTGTTTGATTCGCTGCAGGCTGTCGATCTGCTCACTCAGCTCAGCGACGCCGTCAGCATGCTTCTTCCGCAGGGCTGCCGTCGTGGACTCGTGATGCAGCATGGCCTCCTCCAGGTCTCGCCGCAGCTTCAGATAATCTGTCTCTCTTTTCTTGTTAATCTCGATCTGAGCTGAGGTGGTCCCACCAGCCTCCTCGAGTCGCTCGCTGAGCTCTTCAAGCTCGCGAGCCACATCACCACGCTGCTTCTCCACTTTGGCCCTGCAAGCCCGGTCGGCCTCCAGCTCCTCCTCCAGCTCCTCTGAACGAGCCTGGAGAAAAATTATGTTCAGTTGTTTTGTCAAAATTAAATTTTCATATCTGTTGAAGGTAATAGACTAGTTTGCACCTGTAACTCTTTTATCTTCTTCTGGAGCTGATTGACTAAGGCCTGCTCATCCTCAACCCTGGTGCTTATTGCATTCATTTCAAACTCCTTCCTGGTGGGAAAGATTTCATTATTACCTCAACAACCTCAAAAACAAGGTGACATTTTTTTGTGTGTGAATATATGATGACTCACTTTTTCAGCCTCTCTTCGAGTTGCTGTTTGTCGTTCTCCAGATCCATAAAAGACTCCAAGGAGAGTTTCAGATCTCCCTCCAGCTTACGTCTGACCCGTTCCAGGTCCATACGCAGTTTCTTCTCTTGTTCCAGGGAGCCCTCCAGCTGATTCACATCAGGAATGTAAAAAATGTTAGTTATCAAACCTGTCGACAAAATGAAACCTCTGATTTCTAAAGCAATAAATGAACTCACATCATCCACTTGTTGCTCCAGCTTTGTCTTGGCTTTGGTCAGAGTGTTGACTTTGTCTTCCTCTGCCTGCAGGTCGTCCAGAGTCTGCTGATGGGCCTCCTGCAGAGCCTTTTTCTCCTTGGTCAGCTTCAGGATGGTTTCATCCAGAGCTGACATTTCCTCAATCAGGTTCTTCACCTGCACAGAATAAGTTAGAAATGAAACACACATTTATTGGTTCATTTGTTAAGTCCTACAATCCACTTGATGTGCTGCAGATCTTTCAGAGGCCTTTAGCCCCCTCTGAAGGCAACTCTCCTTTTGCACTCTCCTCACCTTGTTCTCAGTGGCATGTTTCTCCTTTTCCACTTTAGCAAGAGTGATCTCCAGATCGTCAATGTCTTTCTTAAGCTCGGCGCACTCGTCCTCCAGCTTGCGCTTCTTGGCGAGCACATTAGCGCTCATCTCCTCTTCATCTTCCAGCCGCTCCATGATTTCTTTCACTTTGGCCTCCAGCTGGATCTTAGTTTTGATGAGCATTTCACAGCGGTCCTCAGCATCGGCCAGATTGTCCTGCTCCTGTGGGACAAAAAGTGCAGCAGTGGTAAGTGCAGCACTACTACAGTATCTGTGTTCGTATAAGCTGAATGTTTGAATTCTGTACATCACTTACTGCCTGCAGCTGAAGAGAGAGGTCATTCTTTTCTTGGATCAGGCTGACCTGCCTCTCCTCCAGCTCTTTACGCTTGACCTCGGATTTCTCCAGAGCCTCTTTCAGCCTGGCCAGCTCCTCCTTCAGAGCAGCCAGCTCTTTTTCGGTGGCGGCGCTCTTCAGCAGAGGCTTTATTTTAAAGAAGAGCTTCATCCAGGGCCAGTGCTTGACAGCATTGAAGGCCCGGATGTTCCACTGGATGATCATTAGGGCCTCCCTGATAAATGATGGGAATGAAAAAACAGAAAAGGATAGAGTGAACTTTTTTTAAACCACTAAATCTAAAAATACAAATAGATCAGTGATTACCCAACAGGGGTACTTGTAGTCCAGAGATTATTTCTGCACGTGCTAGGTTTTAGGTTTAGAACAGCTTGATTTATTTGAAAAAAGAAAAAAAACAGAAAAGAATGAATATATATATATATATATATACAAAAGAAAGCAGAAAAGTTCAAACACTTAAGCTTAAACTCAGGTATACAGTAAATGGCCCAACTAAGATTTTTAAAGCTGCAAATAATAGATTTCAGTCATATTGAGGTAAGTAGGGACAATATATTAATGACATCGAACCCTGGGATTTCAATTAATGACTGAATTAAATTAAGATTGAATAATTTGCACCATTGGCGTTTAAAAGAAAACAAGTGAATGAAATGTTTTTGAACTATACAACACAAATGCGTTCACAATAAGTAAAGTTTTAGTTATTTTAAAGTATTGTTTTGCTATTCAAAACTTTCATTTGATATATATATTAGGGAGTAAAAATGTGATTCAATAAAAGTATTTAAATATAAAATAGATTAAATATTTAAATATATTTAAATGAAGTAATTATCTAATAATAATGATTGTTGAACAGTTGAATGTAGTTCACAAAAAGTTATGGAAAATAAATTCCAATAACTAAAAGTAAAATAATATATAATATCATTTCATTTACAGTATATTTATATGTAAGACATATGGTTAAAAATCTCATCTTAAAAAGTTTAGTTGTATGAACACCCATTGTAACAATATACACAAATGATGTTAAAATAACATTGAGTTTAGAATCAGTTCAAGTGAACACTGTGCTGTCGCTGATGTCGACCTCGTGTCACTTTAAGAGAAGTTGAGAGCGAGAACATAAAGAGACGAAGGTCAAAAAGATTTATCCTGGACTTCCCCGTTTATTTATTTAGTGACTTCTCCTTGGTGCTTGATTTTATTGGCACAGATCCTGCGCCCATCTCCACCCATGTATCTAATCATACACCAAGGGATGCGACGTGAAATCATACACCTACTGATGCTTTTGATGTTTCATGACTGTGACCAAACGGGTCACTAGATTGATTTAGTCTCAGTAGGATGGCGTCTAGCAGCACCTAAATTTGGAGCTGGAGCAGAGTGGTCAAGGACTCCTTGTCAGTGTTTAGGGGGTGAGTTTAAGTGAGCGTGCACACGCTGGGGTGGAAGGTGACTGGAGGGCTGGTGGTGGGGAGGTGGAAGGTGACTGATTGCATGTCTGACATGACTCCACGTCGAGTGCCTCTCAAAGGTGAGTGTCTGTGTTTATTTAGAAACTAAAACCCTCTGTCCAACGGCCGGCTTAAATCCTCTGTCACCCTCCACATATTCCATCAATGCACTCACTTAGAAGTACAGGCGCCGGGGACAAAAGGGGCCAGGGGCCATTGGGTGTCCAGGGAGGGGGCCGAGGGTTGTATTTTTAGGGAGGGCCTCAGCAGCTGCTACTTGACACATGTCGCCACCTGGCTCTGACGACACCGTCAGCATTGTTTAATTTAGAGAGAGAGTGGATGGAGAGAATAGTCGTAGACCTGAGAGAGTGGGGTATGTGTGTGTGTGTGTGTGTGAGTTGGGGCCCTTAATAACAGAGGGGCCACACACACATGCCTGGTAACCATACAAGGGCAAGCACACGCCTCACACACACCGATAACACTGCCCTTGCATGCCACACATACTGCAGCAAGGGAGTGAACACCGAGGTATAGTGTAACACAAGCTGAAAGGCTCGCGGCCGATCGTGTTGCGATTGAACCTGTTCACTGAAGCAACTGGCGCTGCAGCTCTTTCATGTTTTCTGTACTCACGTCTTCACCTTCCTGTGAGGAACAAAGCTCAGAGCTCTGCTGCGCCTCCACATACATTTTATATTCATTTGGCTTCGTAAAAGAGATTTTGATGACGGATGTTAATGTGATTGTGCTCTTTTACTTCTTTGCATTCATTCTCTGCAGCTCCATCCTCATGATTTTGCCCCGAGCGGTTGCCTGCAGCAGTGTCAAGACTTTGGCCAAACGCTCGTCCCTCATCTCCTCCAGGTGACCCAGCAGACCGACCTTGAAGAACACCTACATGAAGAACGGAGGCAAATATTAAGTTGACAGCAAACACATAAACATATAGCTTCAAATAAAGGAATAAAATCATAGAAACTGAGGGGATATTTTAGCGTGACTGTGATCACACTAGTTTTCATAGATATCATCATGCAGCGCTTCTAATTTCTGAATGATTTACCAAATTTCAAGCCATGATGTCGGATTATTTTGCAGAACAAAAACAGTATAGGGTGGGGACATTGGGTAATGTGGGACACATCAGCTTCAGTCTGTTCATTTCCTGTTTTAACAAAATCTAGTCAGGACCTTTACTATAGTTTAGCATGGACATGGTTGTGCCAAAAAAGGGGCGGGGCAAGTGTCAATGACATAAGATTCTGACAAGATTAATTAATGTTAAAGATATAAATCTGTCATAAATTAAACAGTAGTAGTTGTTAACTTCAACTTCTTTATATACTGTTAGTCTGTAGGTGCCCATCATTATATACTTGGTGTTCACCTGTCAAGTATATTTACTTTATATATATTTTGTTTACATGATAAATATTTCTATTTTTAGAGTTCCTTATGTTTTCCCCGCATTAGGACTAATCTTATTTTATCTTAGTTCTTCTAACTTATTCTTAACGTACTTATTCTGAACTAACTTATTATTAACTAACTTATTCTTAAGTACAGAACTTTTGTAAATGGTTTGAGTAAGTAGCTCTGTTTTACACATAAGCTGCTGCCCTCTACCTTTGTGTGTCCAAACTTGTACTGGCTGTGGTCGATATCCAGCGAGGCCAGCAGCTTCTCTGCCGCTTTCCTGCTGTCAACAAACTTATCATCTGGGATGGCATGTGGATTCAGGATTCGATAGCTGAATATATGAAAACAGTGCGATCAGTGAAACTTAATGTCCATCGAATGAAAAGTGAGTTTTGCCTTTTCTGATTCGTCTTACCGCTGTTTGAACTCAGCATAGAGGATTCGGTTTGGAAAGCCCTTCCTGCAGATCCTGATGCCTTCCAGCACGCCATTACAGCGAAGCTGGTGCAGCACCAAGAATGGATCCATGATCCCTGCACAGAGAAGGTGTCAAACATCAGCCTCACCCGCATCACTTAGCTCCTGATGATATGCAATCGTCCCGCGTGTTACCTGGAGTCTTGCTCTCATTAGGGATGATGCAGCGAACAAAGTGGGGCTGGGTGCTGCGCAGGTTGGTCATCAACTTGTTCAGGTTTTCCTGGATGAAGGAGAGTAAAATGTAGTCAGTATAAAATCCTCCACAATTCTACTATTAAAGCATAATTTATTAAAATGAGAGAGAACAGAACCTTCATGTTAAACGAAATCCTCGATGTGAAGGAGAGAGGAGCCAGCACAGACTTAAAGTGATGTTCATGTGATCATTGCCCTAAACATCACTGCAAGTCTTAACTGCCTCCATCCCAGCTGTCCAGAGAGGCCCACAGGCGCTCACATCGTCTGAAACACTTTTTACGTTCACCTGCATCAGTAACAGACTGTCACACTCTCACCTTGTGAAGCTGAGACACCGTCTGGAAGGAGGCTGCCTTTTTCCTCTTCTCCTTGCTGCCAGTCCTCGGTTCAGACACTATTGAACGATTAGTAGAGTAATTAATGTGACCACGTTGTAAATAATAATAATAATGCTTTATGCCTAATTGCAAATATGCATTCACACTGATAAAAGCAATAAGTAAAAGCAATTAGAAGACAGCATCACAAAAAAGCAGTGATTAAAACAGAACAAGAACAATATAAAGAAGACAAAGCAACTATATGCTAATGAATAGAATAAAAGCAATAAAACATACAAGAGATAAAAAGATGACATCCAACAAAGGAAAGTCTATAAAATGTTTTTTAAGAAGTGATTTAAAAGACTACATGTAATAATCAGGATCTTGTTTATCGTACTTGCGTCTGATGCAATGTAGTTCTCATAGAGCGAGGCCAGCAGCTTGTTGGAAGACTTTCGGAAACACGCCACCACCGTCTCGTTTAGTGGGTCTTTGTTTTTGTCCAGCCACCCGAAGATGTTATAGGGTACCTGTGAAAAACAGCAGGGACGTTCCAATGATTGGATTCTGTGTGTAAGGATAAATTCTGCAGCACTGTCTCAGTGTGTTAGTGAGGAAATCACTTACCACACCAGCATAGTGCACCAGCTCAAAGTGGGTCTCGTACTTGCGCCTCTTGTCTGGCCTCGGCTTTTGGAAATTAGGCGACTTGCCGATATGATTGTCATACATCTTGGCTTTAAAGCTGTTGTCCGAGGCTTTAGGGAACATGCACTCCTCTTCAAGGATGGACATGATGCCCAGCGGCTGGACGAGGAAGAGCAGCGCGTTAATCTAATACACCTCCATGAAACTCATCCATGATTCACCTGTGATACACACAACACTTCACCTTTTCAATGAGATCAATGCACGCTTGAAGGTCCAACCCAAAGTCGATGAAGGTCCATTCAATTCCCTCACGCTTGTACTCCTCCTGCTCCAGGATGAACATGTGGTGGTTGAAAAACTGTTGCAGCTTCTCATTTGTGAAGTTGATGCACAGCTGCTCGAAGCTATTGAGCTGCAATCAAAAAAAGGAACAGGTGTTCAGAACACGCATTTAGACGTGAACGGCGTGAAGGACGCAACATTCCTCCTGCAGCAATGCTGATCCAACACGGTCAGATAGAGAGTGAGATACAGAGAACTTGTTGATTTTCCACCAAAATCTGACCATGCATCGAGAAAAACATTTTGATTTTAGAAAATAATAATAACAGTAAGGATAACCTTTAGATCCATAATAACATAAGAAAAAACATTTGTAATATAGATGAATTTACTTCAAAGATCTCAAATCCAGCGATGTCCAGGACTCCTATGAAGTACTGGCGAGGCAGGGAGGTGTACAGCGTCCGGTTGATGCGTCCCACGAGCCATTTGAACATGCGGTCATACGTCGCTTTGGCCAGAGCACCGACGGCATAGTTAACCTAGATCACACACACACACACACACACACACACACACACACACACACACACACACACACACACAGAGTAAAGTTGTCATTCACACAGATAGCCCCAGTTGCTTAGATACCAGATTTTAATGAGTGTGGAGTGGCAAGTGAACAGATCATCTGAGGACTAAGGAGCTGTCCTTTAATCATCATACGAGTCGTCCTGCAGATTGAACCTTTTATACGACTGGTCTGCTCTTATCTATTTGACATATTTATATATTTTATTCTTACATTTTTCATCTTTAGCTACTGTGTCACATGTGTTGACAAAAAACACAGAGAGCACACATAACATCTCCTCACCTGTTCGACGTTCTGACCCTTCACCACGTACTCGTTCCCCACCTTCACCCTCGGGTGGAGGAGGCCCTTGATGAGGTCAGCTGAACTGACTCCCATCAGGTATGAGGCCTTGTCCGCACCTGATCAAGAGAAAAAAATTAAAAGGTTGAGTCATAAACCTGCCTTTTAAATCTGGAGTTGCTTTTGAGCCAGACATCACTGGTTCTTACTCTCAGTGCCATCGGTTTCTGCTTGCTCCTCGCGCTGCTTTAGCTTGAATTTCATGTTGCCAAAGTGCATGATGGCTCCGACTATTTTATAGCAGCCGTACTTCTCATCGGGCAGGAAGCCGAGGATGTCCATGGCTTTCTGCAGAGAGCCAAAAGAGAAGTTATGCTCTGTGCTCAGATGCAGCTGATATTCTCCTTGTGGAAAAGATAAACGTTCTTACATCAGTGGCCATCAGCTCCTGTCCGTCATCCAGGTTCTCTACGGTGGTGACGCCCTGCGAGCAGAAGTGGAAGTCATACGGGTTGGAGGTCACCAGCAGCATGTCTAAAACAAAGAGTTAACAATGAGTCAACCAGATCATGTCACAATCCTGCAGCAGGAAGGAATGAAATATAAAAAAGCAGCCAGATTAACACACCCAACAGCTCTGGTTTCTTCTGGGACATGATCTGGTAATAGATGTGGTAGCTCCTCTCACCAGGCTGCTGAAATATCACTCTGGATTTTTCCAGAAGATCTGAAACACAGGGAGGGGTGTGAGGTCATCCACTTATATATGAAACAAAATAAAAAATACATGGTGTTAAAAAAAAACCTCTGTAACCATTAACTCACATATGTCAATAGCAGCCGAGGCCAGTTTGCCTGTAGGTCCAAAGTGGATCCTGATGAACTTGCCCTGCAGGAAATTAATCATGCAAGAAATATGAGATGTAAGAAAAAAATGACCTTAATACTAATGATATTAAATGTATAAACAATACACAATATAAGGAATTTTCCAGATACTCACAAAACGGGATGAGTTGTCGTTCCTCAGCGTTTTGGCGTTAGCAAACGCCTCCATGGCAGGGTTCGCCTCGATGATTTGATCCTCCAGATTCCCCTGGAAGATACAATTGTGAGTAAAATGTTAGTAAGCTTAATCACATTATCTTTTACAGTTTATTCTTAATAACCTCTGAAGTAGCTGCGGTGTTTTTTTCTGCAGCGTAAACTCACCCCTGTTTTAGTGGCAGGACTGTGCTGCTGAAGAAGAAAATGAGAAGCCTGTGAGTATGACATTATGTCAAGTGTCACAGAATAATACTTTTACAACCAAAGGGGAAAACCATGAACAACTGGAAAATTAGAACTGTTGTTAAAACCCAATGGACACCTTGTTTTACATGATGGAGTGTGGTGAACACACGGGAGAAAAAGGGAGGAAAAATGAGCATCAAACAACATAGAAAAGTCAAAAACCAAAATCCAAAGCAAAGGGAAAGATTATGGAAAAATGTGGAGCCAAAAAGCAAAAAAATGAAAAAGAAATTATAAGGAATGGTGGGAAAGAATGATTCAAAAATCAGGGAGGAAGCATAGGAGAGTGGCTGGAAATGGCTGCACAACACATGAAGGTAAAGACTCAGACATGAATGTAATCAGTTCTCACATTCACCACTGGGACAGTGAGGAAAATGTATGGACACGGTTTAAAGGGAATACACTGCAGGATTCCTGGGACCAAAAAAAGCGAAGACGACAATAAAAAGAATAAAATAGAGCAAAAAAAGCTTGAAAAAGGAGGGAGTGGAAAACAAAAAAATATGGGTTGCCACATCAGCCTTACTCCTTTTTTGGCAGCTGTTTCCCCAAGAGCTGCCACAATGGCAAAATACTGAATGACACGTTTCGTGTTGACAGTTTTGCCAGCACCGGATTCTCCGCTATAGGAGTGTGAAAAATAACAAAGTGTACATACAACAGGTACAGTAAAAAAATGCTCACAAATCTGGTAAAGATCGTGTAAATTGAATTCATTACACTGCAGGTTATAAAACAGAAAGAAAAAATGAGAATCGTCGAGGCCGAAAGCTCTTGACAGAAAAAAATCTTTAAAGTGGTTGTATGTGGAGAGTCTACATGTTGTAAGGCAGCACATACAGGTACAAACACTTGGTTTCTTCTCTAATTTGTGACAAAATAAAATCTGTTTCAGTGAGTTAAAACTTACGTGATCAGCATGGACTGGTTTTCTCGATCTGAAGAGCAGAAAGTAAAAACGTGGGCTTTCATGTTTCAGAGTTTATATGCTTGTGTTGTATAGGTTGTTGTAATCTGGAAACACTCACTGCGCAGCATGTCATTGTACGCATTGTCTGCGATGGAGTAGATGTGCGGTGGCGCCTCAGAGCGGCGCTTGCCTTTGTAAGCAGCGACCACTTTGGGTGTGTAGACTGGCAGCCATTTGTATGGATTCACTGTCACACAGAAGAGGCCGGAGTAGGTCTGAGCAAACCAGAGGACATGACGTCAAGTTTAACTCTGTAATTTCATCTGGGTAATTATGCTCTTTGGGGGACATGGAAACATGGGAGAGAGGGGGGCGAGCCATTGGTCCATAATGGGACACTCACATAGATCATCCAGGAAGAGTAACGTCTGCGCAGGTTGCACAGCACAGAGGCCTCGTTGAGGTGCGTCAGCATGGCCATGTCTTCGATCATGTCATACCTGGGAGGGTTCATCTGCTGGATGTCACCTTCCTTCACTGTGATGGTCTGAAGGAAAGAACACAGGCAGAAATGAGGATGGGCTCATGACTGCTGTACATATTCTCTATGTTGATAAAATAAAATAAAATGAAGAGCACTTACTTTTCCATCTTTGGTGTCAACAATGACTTTGTCACCGCTGAACTCCTTGATCTCAATCTCAATGTACGCTTCTTTTTCATCAGGGATCCAGGCTCGCTTCTTACCTACAGAGATGTGTGATTTTAATTGCAAAAACTCACCAAAATCAAAACGTTGACAGAAGATGAAATTTCACTGAAATTTCATTGAAATTATTGCAAATTAAAAGTATAATACAAATAAAAAAGTTGGCCTTTTTTATTGTTTGTTATTGTAGTAATAACAGCAATATATCTATTATTTTTTTTGACCTTAAATTGAGAATAACAGAACAGAAAATTGTGACATTTGACATTTGAACAAAATAAATCCATGCAGCAGTTCCACAACAATTATCTTGAATGAAAGGAAATTATTTGCACATATTATGTCTCGTTTTTGTTATTTTTTAAAAGCCCTAGTATAACATGCAGCTGCAATATCAAACCATTTTCTGAATCCACCTGCTGCACTTCTTTTACCTTATTCAGCCACTGATACAAATGTAAGATTGCGTCTAATACTATATTTAATAATGATATGAATAATTGTAATCTGATGTGCCCTATAAGGTTCCGTTTCTCTGAGGTGTCCTTATTAGGCCTACCGTCAAAAGGGATGGTCTGCACCGACATCTGCTCCAGGTCGGATTTGCGTAAAAACGGGGCAGCGTCGCCGAACTCCTGCAAGTCAAAGCGCGACATGGTGGCACCTCCTCGCCGGCTTCAGAACCCGGACGCACGGTGAGAAAGACGGGTCCTTCGGTGAGAACAAAAAACTTTGTGTTAGTCAGTGGTTCTCAAGCTGTTTTTTTTTTTACTTTTATTGACGAAAACAAAACGCAGCCATGAGAACACGACTCGTGCGTAAAGAGCGCAAATCCACCATCACCGATCGAGAACGAAAATATATAAACAAGCAGCGCGTGAACTGACACGTGCCAGCGAAGGTAAAAGGTATGAATGCACTGCTCAGAGTGAAATCAAGACTGAAAAAGACATTTTAAAGAGCAGTTAACCCGCGCGTAAAATGCGTAATGATCAACCTACCAAACGAAGGAGGAAAGTTGTCAACTGACCTCAGGACGGCCACAACGAAATGACAGCCTGCTGAGATGTGCCCCCCTTTATACTGTGTTCCTCAAGGTCACGGTCAGTGGACATTTGTCCCTCATTAGCATATGCCACCTCCTCCGATGCCCATTGGTGCTGCGCGTCTGTCTCAATTGACACAAAAGGAAAGCTACGTTTTTGTCATTGCGCTAAACCCAAGCCGGCTATTTTTGTATCCCAGTTATTTTATGCACTGTACACACTGCGAGGGAGTAGGAGAGAGGGGGCTGCATTAGGAGCATCCCTATGGGGGAATTTTTTCACTCTATAAAATTTGAAGGGCAGATCATTGGTGCATTTAAAAGGACTGTGATTTGTGTCCAACATCCAGAGACACAACATGGAGAGTTAACCCAATATTTACAGGGAAAGTTATTTGCCTGGGATATTAAAAGAAAAACACATTACTAGAAACAGTTAGTATTTAGAATAGTGCTAATGTTTTAATAAACCTCCTGATTAACACAACTGAACTGATTTCCCTTCAGGTGACTTTGCTGCTGATGAACTCATGTTGGCCTCTTACAGCCCTGTTTGCTTTTGTGTTGTTAAGTGTCAACAGGGATGTTTGCTATTGTGTGAGGCCACAGAGGATGCAACCTTAGAGGAGATTATTTCAGGAGCTGTGTGGCATTAAACATGCTTCTATAAATACACAACATTATATTAATAGCGAGAAACATGGCGCGTGGCTTCCAGCAGAAAAATAAAGAGCCTCATGCGAATTTAAAATAGATAAACATGAGAGACGATTAAGCAAAATCATATGATGAAGGATTCACATTATACTTTTTGTTTGTTAAAATTGTTACTTCATAGACAAGAACATTTGGAGCTTTAACACTTCAGGCCTCAGATGAAAATGTCCACTGATGCCACAGTGTTGTACTGTCACACGTAGCTGTTGTAACTTTGTGTATCCAGTAATTCTGGGATAAGCGCTTCGCCTCTCACACTCTGGCTCCACCACATCTGACCTTCAGAGCAAGGGGAGAGGTTGGTGCCTGGTATGAGAGCAGGGTGACAGTGCAGCGTGGGGTGGTGGTGGGTGGGGGGACCACAGTTTCTCAGAATAGACAAAGCCAGAGTCCAGCATTCCTGATAGGGAGATTGACTGTTAACTGTTGGCTGAAAACGAATTCTGTAAAAAGCCAACAAGATAAGGGGAAGATGGCTACATACAGCCTACGGTGATGCTGTAACTTTTACAAACCATAAGACGTGATAGGTCTACCTGTCATATGATGAACAGAATTTGCTGTCTTTTCTCTCCAACAGTGCATAAATCCACGTGCACAGACACAAGAAAAGATGGGCGGCCATCTTTGTTGACACACCACTATCTGCTCCTGTGGCCGACAGACAGAGGTGTTGCCGTGATGGCTCAAACTTTCTTGGGCATCAGTTAGATAGAGGGGGCCTGAGCTATTCTGGGACAAGGGGCTCTTCAGAGGCAGAGGCTGGTTTATGTACTATGTCACTTGGTGCAGCATTTGAAAAGCTGGCATGCTGATAACACATGAGTAGGAGATGAATCCCAAAGTCCCCAGAGCCGCTGGCTTTAAATAAGTTCACATACTCCAGCACATAAACACACACACACACACACACACACACATAGAAACACATATGAAGTGCATGCAGGGCTAGTGTTGTCCCCCAGCACATCTCTCTGCACCGCTATACTGCAGCCCACTGCAACAGCTGACTTCTCACAGCAACAGCTCTCCTTACGTCCCCAGTGTTCCTCAAAATCATTTAGACCCTAATGTGGCCAGGCTCATTAATGCTCATGTTTTGTTTGTTAGACATTTGTGCAGCTTTGAATTACCTTCGTATATATAATGAACAAACAAATTCTAGCTGAAGGCCCCAGCCCCGAAATGTTGGTCCGGAGTCCTCGGCCCATTCTTGGGGGTCGGCCAACCGAGTGTTTGGCGATATGCAAGCGAGGGGCCGACATTTTGGGCATCAAGACTAGATCTGGGGGTCGGTCACAGTTGTTTTAGATCATCATGCACCGAATGCCAGCAGGCTTAGGCAGTGAGATGGAGAAAGATTGGGAATTATGACTGCAGTCATTCTCGGCTGCGTTTAATCGCACACGACACAGTCACATCTCTCTCCATATTCGACCTCTGCACAGGTGGGACCGTTCATCAGATATACTACCAAAAGAGGAATACAAAATGTTCTGTCTCGCTCTTTCTCTTTTTTATATAACTCTTCGCTCACATAAGCCAAATCTGTGCATTTTTTTATTTATCTATTTATCTATACCAAGATTGTAACTTTGGGTTGAACGTTGGGGGGGGGTCGAGGTCCAATGGCATTGAGTCAAATACTCTAAATCGTAATTACTTACCAATGAATAATCACTTTGTACACCTTAAAGAGTATTTATTGCAGCAAAATAAACTGAATCAAGAAAACCAACCACTTTCGTTATTACAGTGAATATACTGTATTTCATCGAGGGTTATGGTATGAGTATTGGGGGAGTTGTACAGGCCTCCTGTAAACTACGCCCTGGATCTATACATATAAGTATCTCTGAAAATATAAACTGTTTTATATGTGCAGTCTGGGTTCAGTTTGTCACTGCTGGTTTGAACGATCCTGCATGAATAATGTTTGATGGTCTTCTTGACAGAACAAATTTTAAAGTAACTATCTTCGTCTATTGCTGTAACCTAAAAATGGGCAGTGAAGCAGCGTTTCATTTTGGATCAAAGCATTCATTGCTGGTGGATATTTCTGTAATCGCCTTTCGCCTGCCCGCAATACCTTGCAGCAACTGTGTGGGCTCAGGTCAATGCCGTCGGTTCATCAGCGTGGAGACGGGCAGACGCGTGGCACAAACATACTCTAAAGCCCCAATTACTCTTCCACACCCACTCCACCCTATAACAACACACAGCAGACTTAATCAGTCTTTTAGCGAGCCCTGTGGGAGGTTTGATACCTTGGCTATTAGCCTCTGGCTCCAGACAATACCCTGTCTTTCATTGTGCTAAGTTGTGGTCTGGGTCAGTGGGCCCGGCCGGCCCAGCCAGCCCTGCCCTCAGTATGCATGGCAGCCCTCAGCTGTCTTTCTATTTCAGGAGTGTGGAGGCATACCTCGGCCCAGCTGGGGCATCACAGACAATGGGGCATGCTGCCTTATCCAAACACAGGCTCGCAGACAATCTGACGCACTCCAGGATCCCAGCGAGAGCCCCGCTGCTGCAGCCCCCTCCTGCCCAATAAAGCAGAAGCAAAGGGTTAACAAGGCTGCACACACACTTAGACACATCACTCAGGAGCTGCACAGCTTCTTTTAAACACTCTACCAACCACACCAAGGAGAGATTCATTTGTTGTGTGATTTGGAATGATGGACGTGAATGTAGCGGAGTGTAAACACAGCCAGACTACATTTATTATTTGAAATGCAGATATTTCTACAAACATGGAGCTTTCTCATTTCTCTTTTGTTGTATATCTAGAAAAAGTGAAGTTATTATTATAATTATTATCAAAGAAAGGAAAATACATTTCTGGAAATGAAATGTATCATATTTTTACTGATGAATTTTACCTACAAAATGATTACAGTTTATCCAGCTTGTGTTATACCACCACATTGCTGAGATAAATGATCCATGATTCATGTTTGCCTTGTGGCTTCATTTTTAAAGTCCCATCTATACAGCACACTCCACACACTCATAGTTTTCATCTGTTGGATTTCAGATCCAATGAAATCACTGTTTCTAAACAGCGGGTCATGACTTCAGTTGCTCTGCTTGACTTTAAATAGACTTGGAAGGGAAGCCTGTCAAGCTGCCTGGAAAGACCTTCAGTTAGTGACCTACAGCATCATACTGTCATTGCAGACATAGCTTCACCTAACTGTCAGTCCTGCGGGGGTCTGTTAAAGATGTCCGGGGATGCAGGTGGCGGTGCTCGGCCTCTGACCATAATTGCTGTTTAGACAGAACCGCTGTCACAATGAGAGGCATTTCAGCGAGCCGCGTGGCAGCTCTTTCACAGTTTACACAGGCTCCAGGCCCTCTTATACTTCCTTTATACACACATGCACAGGCATTCGTGCATGCACCAAATGCACCTCTCCCACGCAAGACGACTTCACCTGTCGTCCGTGACAACTGCTCGAACAGGGAGGGAGGGACGCAGACATGTGTCACACCATCAAATCGACTTGAGTTAGTTCACTTTGGTTGCCAGGCAGAAAACAAACAAACTGACACAGGTCACTGACAGAAAAATCATCAGAAACAGAGAAGCAGACTCTGAACAAACAGAAGGAAACCTGTGGCTCAGCTCACAAAGAATTATGTGTTCAAGATTAGTCTAATTATGGTCTAATAAATGTTTGATAAAGAATTTATTCAGGGTTTAACTTCCAGGTTGTTGGAAAATGTCATTACTCGATATATGTCCTCCTCCAACATGACTTCATTTTGCTCCCTAATTCATTCCGTTACGCGACTCAATCTTCTGGAGAGCATCTGGAGAACACTTGTTTCTACAGGCCTCATGGTTTATTAATGAAGTGAGGAAGTCTTGTCCTTTACTGATCAGTCACT